CCCCTTAAGGTAGGTTTTAGTAACATAATAATAATAATAATAATAATAATATTATTATTATTATTATTATTATTATTATTATTATTTTGTTGTCTGCATAGCCTGTATCATAGAGAAATTCTATTTTCTCTATGCTTATATTAGGATTGAAGAATATCTATATTAATTGCTTCAGGTAATGGTTCAGTGTTATGTAATGAAAGTTTTTAGATTTATATTATAATTGAATGATTTTTTTTACAAAATCTGATTTAATGCATCAGTCTATTTTAAAGAAATACTTTATTTTGGTTATCAAATGTCTAATATTTTTCTCTTTTTAATTTCCTCTTTAATAGGCCCTATTATCTTGTTGGAACCATGAGGCGGACCCTACAGATCACCTAAAAATAAATGACATGGTGACTTCCTTTAAACATTGCCTAGAGAACAATCCAAAATGGTTGGAGGAAAAAGTAGAAGAATATTTCTTAAAGAATCAGCATCGTCTGACGCTTGTCATGAAACCAAAGGAAAATTTCCAGCAGGAATTAGATGACCAAGAAGCACAGAAAATTGTTTGCTTAACAGAAAATTTGTCAACTAATGATAGACAGACAATTTTTGAAGATGGTATGGGATGTATTTATTCTTGTGTAACATTTTCAGCCCACTATAAATAACCTAATTATAAATATCTTGTTTTCAGTGTACTATCTTAAGGGCACTGTTTGTCCTCTATCTTAGTTATTGATGCTTATCTTAATACAGCATAAACCAAGTGTAGAATTTCTCCTCTGCCGCAGTATCTCCCATGGCAACGATTACTTGTATTTAGGCCTGTAATTTACTGTCTAATTGGCTCATAAAAACAAATCTTCATGGACATAAACTTTATTGCAAACATTAAAATCTCATCACTTAATCTTTATCACTCACAGTCTCTCTTTAAATAGTGTTCAATCAATTGTAAATTTAATGTGTTTCTTCTTAAAATCACTTAACATATTGCATCGGTTCTGTATCTATATCTGTATCTTAATGAGGTTTATATTTAAGACCAATCTAAAATATATTTTCTTTTTTGTAAGATAATGCTATTAGATGAGAATTAAATTTAAGTATACAATATTGATTTTTAGTCTCCAAACGCTAAAGTTAATGAAAACAAAAATTAAAGGTTCTTCAAATATTTTGAATTTTTATTTCATTTTTACCATTATTCCGAGTTTGGAATTAGAAATTGCAACTGGGCCCCTAGGGATTTGCGGCGGCTAATTCTCATGCGAGGGTTATTCACGTAGCTGGCTCCAATTTCCATAGGTTGGATTTGAACCGGGGTCTTCAGCATAAGTAGTAGGAACGTTGACTCTCGGACAAACGATTAACTCAAATATGTGATTAGAAATACAAATAAAACAGATGGCACCTAATTTGTTTAAAGTCCATATAACAGACTATCAAATTTTATTTGACAAAAACATGTGACATGCCTATATATGGTCATGATGACATCACATCATGACCATATATAGGCACATCATGACTATATATGGGCATACAACAGTCTGGACAGAGCTTTTCAATTTATTTGTAACACTTCAAATATAGTTTTTTTAAGATAAATTATTGGAATTCAAACCAAATCCTCCAATGTAACATCACTTGTTTAGCATGTGACAGTTATAATATTTCTTAAGATATTTTATCGGAAACCAGGCGGTAAGGCCAGTTTCTCATGTTGTTTTAATTTCTTCTCTACTCTAGGTTTGAAGTTAGCAGAGGAGCAAAGCAAAGAGGATGACCCATCCTGTTTACCAACCTTAGCCATCTCTGATATTGATCGAGACATCATCAGGACTGTGGTTGATTTGCAGACCCTCAACAATGTGTCTGTCCAACATTGCATCCAGCCAACCAACGGTGTTGTTTATTTCAGAGCTGTTGCCTCCTTGCATACACTACCTGATGAACTTTTGACCTATGTACCTCTTTTCTCCTCGGTTATCACACAGTACGTATCCTCATTTGTATTATACAAGTGCATGGCATAGATGCATGTAGGCCTATATTTTTACAGTCCAATTAATGTGTGTCTAGCTCTGTGGAGGATTGCCCCCCCCCCTCCCCCATTGCGCCTAGATTAGTTTGGTTCCGAGTCTAGATGTGTCAGTAAACATATTTAAATGTGTTGAAATATGTTATAGAATGTATCTAGATGTGTCAGTGATTTTGTTTAAATGTGTCGGAGAAAGTGTCTGGATGTGTCATGTGAATAAGACTGCATGGCATCACAGCAAATGATCGGAGGTCTGAAAGTCGGACATTTTGGTGGGCACCATCACATTTACAACCTATGATAGGGTACCTAAAATTCAGTATAGGTACATATGTACAATACATACACTTAAAAAAAATGAAACATGCACAAAATGTAGTAAGTCAGTGATAATGACCAAGGACTATACTAGACATTATATCCTACTGTATGCTGAATAAAATGATTATCGCAAATATTATTTTTGTATTTTTGCAGAATGGGAGCCGGGGATATGAGCTTCCACGAGTTCTCACAGCAGGAAGATCTCAAAACAGGTGGACTTGGAGTTAAGACCTACCTATGCCAGCACCCAGAATCAATACACAAACTAGAAAAGGTCTGTAGTTTGCAGTATGCTGGCTCCCATTGCTGCCAGTGTTAAGGGATACTCTCTTCCTAATTCAAGCAAATCTTAAAGACACTCTCTGCCCTTACTGTGTAATTCATTCTTACTGTTTAAATTATACAATACTTATTCATTCACTGTAAAATGGACCTTCCGGAATGTCAATCAAACTTAAAAACTGACCAATCATTATGTTTATTTTGTTATTCTATGGATATGAAATTCTGAAATAACAGATGAAATGAAATGACTAGGCCTAGATTGACTGACTGGTCTCTCCTGCCAACTAGGTCTTAACAGCCTCACTGCCCTTTGTTCATGGTGCCAAACCTCCACACTCTTTAAGTAATTAATAACCAAGTCTTTATGTGAGCATTGAACAAATTATGTACTTACAATATAGATTAATGGGTCTATTTTCTCTGTATATTCCAAGTATATATCCAAGTCCTCAAAAACAATCTTCTTTTGCATAGTGTGTGGCACATTCTTACTGTGCAAATTGTGCAACTAATTAACATACTGTATTTAAATATTTCCCCAATTTGCATACTCATTAACATATTATGAGCTTACAATTTTAGGGTTTACTTTATTTTTTAAAGGTTTTTTAAAAGGTTTCATACATTATTTCTTTAATTTTTTTTTGTGATTTTAAAGACTATTTATATTCAATTTTTGTATATATTTTACAGAAGCATATTTATCTAGTATGTATAATATATATTACATTGTTAAATAAATAATACTAAAATAAATATATTGAATTACAGTTTTACACACTGAAATACATGTATCCTTCATGTTTTTATTATCTACAAATTTTGTTTTTATTTATTTCAGGGAATAACATTGTCCTCTTATTGTTTGGATAATAACACAGAAGAAATGTTCAGATTATGGCAAGAAATATTCTTAAGGTGAGGAATAAAAAATCATATTAGTTTGCAAGTTAACTAGGTGTTGCTAAAGTATCATTATCATTTATAGCCATTGTGATCATTATCATCTCTATCATCGACATCATCGCCCCCATCAACATCATTGTCATTTTCCGGAATTATCAACACCACCATCATAATCATAATCATCATCATAATCATCATTATCATCATCCCATTATCATCACCACCATGATCATCTTCATCTTCATTATCAGCAGCATCACCCTTATCACCACTCCCACCATCATCATATCACCAACACCACCGCCACCATCACTCCATATTACTACTGCCATCATGAATTATCACTTAATAGATAATACATATTTTCTTTGCAGACCTAAACTTGATGATGTTGACCGCTTCACCACTCTGGTACGAATGAATGCCTCTGACCTGGCCATGTCGTTGTCCAACATGGGTCACAGCTTTGCAATGTCTGCAGCGCAAAGCAACATAACACCTGTTGGCCATTTCAGTGAAATTATGTCTGGAATGATGCAGGTAAATTTTAAGCATTTAATCTTTAAAAATGCCTTTTGCAATAGTATTTATTTATTTATTCTAGTTCGTGTGTAATATATTTTTATATACTCACAATTCATCTTTTGAGGTTAAATTTTTGAAATCTGTTGCCGAGATGCAAGACATGAGTCCAGTATTACAGAAGCTGCAGCAAGTTTCTAGGCATGTCTTGTCTACAGAAAATATGAGGTAAATGAGACATAATCATTAAGTTAAACATTATCATTAATATTATTCATTACAATAATTTTTAAAGTAATGACCATCATTACCATTATTATTGTAATCATAATTTGCATGTTTTAAAGTGTCACTAATATATTTTACCTAATTTTAAATACTAAACAAATTTGGAGTTGATTTTTTTGTAGTATCTATATACTAAATAAATACCATTATAATAAAATGCAATGTAAGTATTAGGTTATACTCTGAATGCAGAACAACTTGTTTGAGCTTTCAACTATCAACACCAGCCTACTTCTACTATTAATACTATTAAATATTAATTTATAATTACTATTGTTAATATTATTGTTGATTATGATTGTTATTTTTCTTTAGATGTGCTCTAAATGCAAGTCCATTGTTCATGGACACAGCATCCCTACACTTGGAGCGATACCTATCACAGTTACCTGGAGAGGGCGCTGCTCACACCGCATGTATGCAGGATGTAAGCAACCAGAGTAATATCTACAAATTAATGCTAATCTGTGTATTGCCAACGGCACTGATCTAATACTATAAAAGTTGCTTTTAATAGATGTTTCTATGAACGAAGTTAATCCTCCGGAAATAATATGACCAATAACATGTTATCTGTCAAATATTATTGAATATTAATAGTAATAATGTGGGATTTGTATAATTTGATTTCATTAAAAAATAAAGAGTATTGAAAATTAATCTCAGTTATTATGATTGTCAGAATTATAAGCATTAATAATTATTAATAAAGTTGTTAACCATTTTGAAGTCATCAGGTTTTCAGTGAGAACTACATAAAATAGTTCATAGGCTTTTACTGTACAAAATATAGTCATGGAACCTAACCAAACCAAAACCAGACACCATATGAATTTATATGCCCAAAAAAATAAAATACAAATGTTATTTTCTAAGTGACTTTCTATTTCTATATTTCCAAAATCACTGTTAGTCAAAAACAAGAAAATTTGTTTGTTTTAAAGAGAACATAAAACAATTATAAAAAATAAAAATTTTTATCAAAATAGCAACTCAAAGACAGATATCAAAACAATTAAGGCTTGCAACACAAAACCAGCGTACTGTTGCTAAATGTTAAACTGAGTAATTAGGATAAGAATATGACAGTATTGCATACTTTGGTGCAGAGAAGCTGTAATACGTTTACTCATAACTTTGCAAAAAAAAAATATGTAGGTTTTAAAGAAAAAATGTCAATTCTAAAACATAAAAAAATTATCAAAAATAACAGCTTCTAATAAGACAGAAATCAAAACAATTCTGTTGTCTCTGATTTACAGATATTTTACTATAAAAAATCCTTCATTTAATTACTAGCCAATCAAAGCGTTTATAACAAAGAATATAGGACCAATATTATTAATATAAGTGCAAAACAAAATGATCAATTCCTTCATTGAATTGTATTTTTTTTCCACTCATTTTCCAGAATAAGGACTCGCAGATCACCATTTCAAATTTTAGATTAATAAGGTCATTGCAGACAGTGAATATTTGTTTTACATTGCATTATATATTAGAACATTTTTTTTTTTACAGATTCAATTTAATCCCACTATGCAAAAACTACATTATGAGTTGCCCTTCCCTGTTAACTATGTCAGTCGAGCTATAGAGGGCGTGCCATACACACACGAAGACTTTGCTTCCCTGCGTATACTTGCAAGGCTTATGTCATCAAAGTTTCTACATCGTGAAATAAGGTAACACTTTTTTTGTGCTATACAATACTGGTGTCCTGTTACTGTTTTTTACCCCATTTTTTTGGGGGAGGAGGGGCTATCCTAGTCAAAATCAACTTTGCACAATGCTTAATGAAATAAAATATTTATTGTTTTTATTGTGTATATCATATAGAATTTATTATTGTAGTTTTCGAACGAGTCTATGATCTATCAAGTGCATGTGGCAAGCTTCCACGCACAACCTAACTAAAGAAATTAAAATTTTTAATTTGAGTTATGATTTAATGTGTTTGCAATTTAGCTTAACTTGGCCTAAGATTCTATTATCTTTAAAACAAACATATATTTAGTATATTCATTAAAATTAGGTTTTTAATCATTAAATATTCATAACGGTCACAGTGCAAATATGGTTAATAATATTACGTGGTATTTGAATTTTAACAATGTTTTCAGGGAGAAAGGAGGTGCATACGGAGGTGGCGCTTCGATGGGTACGAGTGGGGCATTTACATTTTATTCCTACAGGTAAGAATTCGTAAATTTGTGTGTGTGCAACAAAGATCTTATAAACATGAGTTAGTGTTCTCCGCAATTTACGCATAACAAAACAGAAGCGTTGATTTGGCAGAAATATAATCACTTTCGATGAGAGGGCGCCCTAGTTGTTGCCATATGGAAGCTGGTCGCGTCAAGCCAAAGTTTGTTACTAAGTACGTTTTTGTTCCTTAATTATTTTAAAGAGAGCGCACAATGTAAATCAGCGCTTCTAATTGTTACGCGTAAAGGTAAAGTCAAGTGGTTTACGCTGTGCTCAAATGGGTCAAAGTTGAATCAAAGATCTTATAAACACAAGATGACGTTCTTCGCGATTTACGCATAACAAATAGAAGCATTGGTTTGGCACAGAAAATTCACTCTTGGGAGAGGGTGTCCTAGTCGTTGCCATGGATCCGAGATAGGGTGTTTGCATTACACCAAAATTCCTTACCAAGTACATTAATTGTTCCTTAATTGTTCTAAAGAGAGGGCGCATTGTAAATCGGGCGCTTCTAATTGTTACGTACGCTATTATCAAAGCAGTCAAAGTTCAAAAGTTTTTACTTCTGCAAGAGAGCGCTGTAAAGAATTTGCACACAGAAATCGCGGAGACCGCTATCTTGTGTTTATAAGATATTTGGTGTGCAATCAATTTTGATACTCAGTATATTTCTAAAGAGTTTACTATAATAGCAATTGCCATGCTTTTCACTACAATTTTTTAAATAATTTTTGTGTATATTGTAGTACTCTTATTATTATTATTATAATTGTGGTATATGAACTTGCTTGTTGTTCTATATTTTTACTAGAGATCCAAATTCTGAGAAAACAATCAAGGCATTCAGTGATTCCATCCAATGGGCAGTTGATGCAAACTACTCACAACAAGACATCGATGAAGCAAAATTATCAGTCTTTTCAGCAGTAAGGACGATATTATATCAAAAATAAATTAACTACTGTATTTATTCAAATAAACACCCCAGGGTGTTAATTGATGAGAAGGGTTTTTGAAGGGGCATTTATTCGAGGGAGGCATTTATTTTTTTTTGGAGTAAAATGGATATGTATGCACTCAAATAAACGCCTGTATATTTAACTGTAAATGTGGAACTACAACACATACCATCAAAATGTGTTTTCGTATGCATCATAACAAGATTATTGATCCCAACCAGGTTAGAAAAAAATGTAATCCAAATGATGTTGCTTCCACATTAGGGGGCATTTATTCAAGGAAAAAATAAATGTGAAGTCTCACCACAAAATGAGACGCATCGTTGGTGAAATCATATTGAGATATTCACCAAAATAGGTCAAAGGCAACATTTTTACAAAATTTTGATTTTAATGTTTTTGAATAACTTGATACTTATATTTTATGATTGTGTACTTTTTAAGTGAATTTTCATACTAAAACAGTGTTCTCTTCGCATATTCTGTAAATCTAGTCCTATTATTTTTACAGGTTAGTTTATCTTTGAGGCCGATTTTCTCAAAACCTGGTTTTCATACACAAAACTTTAAATGCTAACATCTCTGGATCTATTTATCCTAGGGAAGCCATTCAAAGACCAAATTAAAGCTTATAATGTGATCTACAAAATGTAATATAAACTAATTTTTTGATTTTCTAACGATGAGACTCATTTTGTAGTGAGACCTCACAAATGCTCCGAAGTGTTTATTTAAGGGAGGAATTTATTCCAAATGAGGCTCTGATCTGAACAGAGCATTTATTGGAGGGGATGTATATTCAAAGCAGGTGTTATTTTGAATAAATATGGTAATTAATTTCATTATCATCATTTCTTCTATCTGTATTTCATCAACTTTCATAAATGTTTCCTATGTTAATTAAAGAATTATAGTTATTAAACTACTGTAACTAAACTTTTATTTTATCCACAGGTGGATAGCCCAACAGCACCCTCCAGTAAAGGGATGCGGCTATTCAGCAGTCATATTAGCGATGAAATTTATCAACGACATCGCCAGCAACTCTTGGCAGTAACTCAAGATGACATGGTAAAAGTAGCCAAAAAATATCTACTAAAGGGAGACAAGATGGATGGAACAGCTTTACTAGGACCAGCAAATGAATTTACAAAGGGAGATGAACAATGGACAATAAAGAAAGAAGAATAATTTACAATTACAAATATTATAAAGAAATACATAGGGTTTTGGCTATAATATGATGAGTAAGGAGGGGTTGAAATTGGAGATCTGGGCTCAAAAGTTGGAGCACCATCTCTCTTTCCTTGGCATTTGGACAGACTGCAATGTTGTGGGTGGTTCGCCACACTTTTCGCAAACGAAGTCTACCTTCCCACCACATGTCGTTACTCATGTATACTCTTTTAGCAGACTGAAATAATATAATTTTCTTCCAAAATAATATCAAAGGTTTCTTGTGATTTATTTCTGAATAGCAAAGTATTTGGCCAGAAATGCAATGCTGTGAAATAATACAATTTAGTTCCAAATTTAGTTCCAGACGAATATCAAAAGTTTCAATCTCATTTATTTCTGGATAACATTAATCACGTTTAATCAATAATAAATAGGTTGCCAGTAAATGACAAGATATTTCTTTAAATAAATTTTGCGTTGTTGAGATTGGATTGGCGTTCCATATAGATTGCTCTAATCAACTTCTAGAGAATGAAGATGATTAGAACGATCTATTCAAAATATCATAACATTTACAACAACGCATCAGTCTTTTTCAGGTGGTGTACCACAAACCTATTTATTATTATTGCTTCACCAACCAAAACTTTCAAATAATAATTATTACAGTGATCATGTGTTTACACAGTCGTTATGGTTGTTAATAAAAGTTCCAAAATATCTAAAACCATTGTCAGTATTTAACTTGCAGTCAAAAAAACATTCTTAACTTGATTACCAGCCAATTTAATACGTTTATTTCCATTGATTTGATTGATCCATTTTATGCAAGTTTTCTGGATGTTTAAGGACATTGATTGATCCATTTTACACAAGTTTTCCGGAAGTTTAAAGACAAACAGTAAACTAAGGAAGGAATATTCTGTATTGGTTCCTAAATGAAAGTAAAAGCTGTTATGGGTAGACATGGTATCTGACGAACCTTGGAAGAGATACTAATGCGGAAGATCATCCTTAAAATCGGGAAGTTACAAACGTGAGAAAAGGCGAATTACTAGCGGATGAATATAAAGATAATCTTTTCCTTAATTTGTATTGCTGCGAACGATAGACAGGATAATATGTTTATTTTTGCCGAAAACTTTGTTTTGAAGATTAGTAAATTTTATTTTCTAGATAAATGTTACAAAAATGATCTCCTGAGAAGAATATAATTTGTGTTTATGTGATTTAATCGGCCGAAAAGGAAGAGAACTTTCTCCTCCAAGCAAAAACATCAGCTGACTACTAATATAAGATAAAAATAACGAAAAGTTGTTGATCATGTTCATGGCTTTTCTAAATTAAACCTCCCCAAAAATAGTAATTTCCGTTGAAATGCTTTGAAAATATATGATGACATTAATTAGATTATGAAATCGTTCGAATCACCTCGTGCATTTTGCTGGTAAATTATAGATACCTGTTTTAATTTCGGCTTTAGGGTTTTCCATCAAATTTTGCATTTATAACGTCAACAATTATTACCGGGTTTCGCTTCAATTCAATTCTTTAAATCGAATAATTCGATGACTTTAATTTAATGATAAACTTTACATGATATATAGCAAAAATATTTAAATTAATAATAAAGGTATGGAGGTTTTATAAGCTTCAATTATTTGGTTGATCACGTAAAAATAGAAAAACTAGACTGAACGATCGGATGTGCCTTCTTTATGAGTTTGAGTTATCGTATCTGACACAAGTTCGAGTTGGTAAATTAAAATTAATATGCTCAGTTAAACTGGTCATCGATATCCTAAATCAAAATGTCAATTTAATTAATCAGGTTTTGTATTAAAGTTATTCTGTATTTTCTTTTAAATTATATTAGTCTAACTAACTGGTAGCACATACGCCTATGAATTTGTATATCTTACTTGAAAATGAGTGAACCTACTCGTTTAACTCAATTCTGAGGTTTAGTGCAGTATACGAACAGAAACATGTCTATGTTCTTCAAATGGTATTTTGCGTATTCGTACGAGTGTTTCACTAATTTGCTGTGATATCGCTACAATTATTTGCAGTAGTTTTAGATAATTTAATTAATATCTTAAGCTGGTTTATTACACAATCTTAGCAAAATCTTGGCTTAAAAATCGTCTTAGGTGGCGCCAACGTACAATCGACTTTCTAATTTTAAGCAATTTTTAAGCTAAGCAATATGGATAAATTTGACTTAAGGAAAAAAATGGACTTAAGACGAATTTTAGCTGATTTCTAGTTTGATAAATCTGACTGAAATTCGAGGTTTTACTGTATACAAAGCCACTCCCATTTGTATATCTATATAATGTATCTATGTACTCTATTACTGTAGTGCAATTCTATACTTATTTTTTCATGTTGTCGGGCCCACGCATTGTAAACAGTACCGTATAGATTTTAGCCAGTGCCAAAAGTCATGTGTTCGGGCCTTACCCACGCATAGAGGACAGTATCGATTTTAGCCATCCACGTCCTCAAGACACCTGCATTTAGAATATCCATTGATGTATGATTTGTCTATTGCTAGACAGGTTTTCCGAACTTTAACATAGAATGTAATGTTCGTCGATCCAAACATAATATGCCATTGACATTAGGCCTCTACCTAAGAAAAAAACCCGCATTATTAAGCATACTTACCGAAGTTGGGTCTCGCGTATATTTGGAGTCCCTACATCCTACAACCTACATCTTCCTGAATGCAAACCATTTACATGAGTAACGACTCTGATACCGGTTGTTACAGTGTCAATACAAGATTGTGCTTCTTAATACAAATCATTAAATAGAAGCTCAAGGTTACCTGTCTGAAATGATATCATCGTATATACACACCCTTCGGTCATCTTAACATCTGCTTCTGGTAAAAAAAAGTTAAACACCTATGGCAAACGGTCATTCACTTGTGCTGAACCAGTCCTACGGAATTCTCTTCCTGTTGATGTAAAGACTGCACATAATAACCATTCAAATCGAAGCTTAAGACATAGCCTTTCGCTAAATTCCTCGCTGATTTGGCAGCTGGACTTGAAGCATTAGTATATAAATGTACATTATTTGAATTCCATTTTATTCGAATGACATTAAAATGTAAAAACTTGCATTGCATTCTGATTTTGCCTTTCCCATCAGGGCTTCGAACATCACCGTTATTGCAATTTATTTTCGCTATAGAAGGGAAGTTTTACGGGAGTTTATTGTTTGCTGTAGACATATTGCGGTTGATTTTAAAATTAATATATATAATTAAAGAATACTTACTAAACA